TGTCTCAAGCATTCGTGTGTTTGTTCGCATGATACATGTAGAACATGAAGTGTCGAACGGCGGGAATAGCCCGAACGCAGCTATTCTCGCCGATTACCTGAGCGTTTATTTGTTTGGTTGTTCGTGAGTTTGCATGAACGGGCGGCAAAAGAGAAGAGGATGACGGGACCGGAAGTGCGGCTGACAGAAACCGGAAGTTTCGGCTGACAGAGAGGCGGGCAGACCAGGAGTGAGCAGCTCATGCCTCGGCAAGGTAGGAAGGGGGAGTAGCGTTTTTATAGGAACGCTAACTCCTCCCACAAATACAGGCCTTCGGCCTTAAAACATAAACTATAAAACATAAATTATTTGAATTGAGCAGTGAGACTGCAGCGACATGACCTATACACAAAAAGTGTTTTATTGAGCTAGAGTTGTTTTCATGCCTATAGTGTCCCTTTAAATCTTGCTGGATTTGTAAAGGAATGCTTAAAGCATTCTTACAATGTTCCAAAATATAATACTATTAACTAAATTTCATAAGATTAAATCCTGTCCTCAGCAATGTGCATTACCATGGATGAGAAGGCGAAAGTCGCCATACGATAGGTTGGTTTTCTGTTTAATAAACCCAGCTCAGGTTGTTTGACGCTTGCAGAAAAAACATTATTTTCTGATAATGCCATTTCTGCATTTTTCTGCTGTTTGTATTCAAACGCAGTTTGCATCTCTGTCATTTATTGCACCAACACATATTATACATCTTTTTTAGAGGGCAAACAGGGCTTTAATTTGGTGTCACATATACATAGATACATTTTCATTAATTATATAAAAATGGCAAATTTGTTTTTTTTTTAAATACATTTTTTTCACAGTTTTGGCAATAATATAGTGTGCATAATATGTCCAGCTTAGAAAAAGTAATTCAAAATAAATTCATTTATGTGTCTTGATTTATAGAGTACATCATATGTCTAGGATTTCAGCTTATTTTGAAAGATACAGGTCACAAAATACAAGGACTCAAATAAAATTTCAATTTGCAACAATTTTAGAATTTGCGATGTTTTTCTTGTAGGTTTAGTAGCCATTGCAATAAACAAAATTGCCACACAAAAGTATATATTTATATAAATATTTGAGCAGGCTACATATTACAATTAATACACACACAGAAAGTTGGTGGAGCAAAAGTTAGTAAATAAAGATATACTTCCCTCTCTTCTTACTTTTACACTGTAAAGATAGAGAGGTACAAAATAGTGCAGATATCTCTATATACAATATAGCAAATATAAATCAAGCACACTCACAATGTAAGAGCCATTTAGTAGACCTGGCTCTGGTTTGGATCTTTGGTGGTGCTTGAAGAGATGTGTTGTCCTCCTTTTCCAATAATAGGCAGTAGAGATACAATAAATTCCAAAAGTAAATTTATTTGAAAAAAATGGTTAAAAAAGGATACAAGTAAAATCTAATAATCCATGTGTTCCACCGGAAGAACCGGAAGAAAAAGACAGCGGAAATTGGAACAGCAGAGTACTTAAGGAATTTGAAGACAGCACTACAGCATCCACGCCAACTGAGGAAGCCACATATCGGCGAAACGCGTTTTGGCAACAAATTGGACATTAGTAGATTTTACTTGTATTCTTTTTTTAACCATTTTTTTCAAATAAATTTACTTTTGGAATTTATTGTATATCCACTGCCTATTATTGGAAAAGGAGGACAACACATCTCTTCAAGCACCACCAAAGAGGTCTGGGGATCACCCAATAAAGATCCCAAGGAGATCCAAACCAGAGCCAGGTCTACTAAATGGCTCTTACATTGTGAGTGTGCTTGATTTATATTTGCTATATTGTATATAGAGATATCTGCACTATTTTGTACCTCTCTATCTTTACAGTGTAAAAGTAAGAAGAGAGGGAAGTATATCTTTATTTACTAACTTTTGCTCCACCAACTTTCTGTGTGTGTATTATATGTGATTTAATGTGAAGGTGTAGGGGATACCTCACTGGTGTTTAGAGCAATTATCATTTCTGTAGATACGCCACTTTCTCTGTTATTTTATATATTACAATTACCCTATTAAGGCCTACCATTTCTTAAAGAAGACATCCCAGGGTATTTCAAAAGGCATAATTTGAACCTTAGCATGGGATCATTTTTCCGCTAGCATGTACCAGGTGTAGTGGTAATAAGCATTTTTTCTGCCTTTTTGACACACAAAGTGAGTTTGCACAGTATATTTTGCAAACCTTATGTGTGCTACGACTGTATAATACTACATATGTTGCTCAGCTATGTCGGCTGAGTACAGCAATACCCTGTATGTACCTTTGCCAGGTATATGTGGATGTTGAAGGGGCACATTTGAGATGCAGCCTTTTAGTTTTTTTCTAACTTTGAAGTTTTACGCTGTGTCCATATTCCATTTTGGAGTAGTTTAGATGGTTAGTTATTGAAACTTCCCCACAAACACATACTATTTATTAAAGAATACACCCTGGGGTAATTCAAAAGGCATATTTTGAATCTTAGTGTGTGATCATTTTTTCTCTAGTTTGTTCCAGGTGTAGTGGTAATGAGAATTTTTAAATGTATTTTTTTACTTTTTAAACTTTTTTACTTTTTAAAACTAGTTTTTAAACTATTTTTTTGCTTATTATTTTTTTAAACTTTCCAAAACTTTCTTAAAGCTTTTTTGTTCAGATTTAACATTTTTATAAGCTTTCTTTTACCATTAACCCCTAACTAGCAGTAAGCAGCACTAACGGTAAATTCCCCAATTTCCCATAACTCCCACCCACCCCAGCTAGCAAAATATATAATTATAAAATATTTAAATTAATTAATTAAATAAATTGAACCCCTGAGGGTTAAAAAATAAATAAAAGTTAATCTTCAGGGGTTAAGAAAAATTAGATCACAGTATACTGTGATCTGTATTTTGATCACTGTAGGCAGTGATCGACTGGCAGGGAAGGAGTTAATTTTTATTAGGACTGATTAAAGGAGGGTGGGACTGTTTTACTTTTTAAAAAATTGTTATTAAAACATTTAATTTTGTTTTTTAAAACTTTGTAAAAACTTTTTTTAACATTAACCCCTAGTTAGCCTAACACCAAATTTCCCAACTCCCCACTAACTTCCACTCACCTCAGCTAGCTAAATATACCATTTTGATATATTTAAATTAATTAATAAAATAAAATTAAGCCCTGAGGGTTACAAAAAATTTAATTTGAAAAAAAAGTTAAAAAAAAAATCTGATCACAGTAAAATGTATACCCTGCCAATTGATCACTGTAGTCAGTGACCAATTGGCAGGGAAGGGGTTAATTTATATTTAAAATGGGTAAAGGGTAGTGAGATTTTAATTTAACTTTATTCATTTTTTTTTTACAGGGAGAAGATAATCACTGATCTGTCTCCCTGCACTTCACATTGAACCAGGAAGCGCAGGGAGGCAGTTCTTGAGTTCCTGCAGCACATGTGTTCGCTCTGACAGCCTGTCAGAGCGATCACTGCTGCAGGGGCAGGGCGATCGGGTCCTCCCGGTCTGCCTCTAATACAGAGGCAGACCAGAGCACCGTTAACCCCGCGATCGCGGCAACTGGGGTTAATTTTAATGCATGATGGACCTGGTCCATCACTCGTCATTAATGGTTTCCCCAGGGTGACGGACCAGGTCCGTCGCTAGTCATTAAGTGGTTAATTATCCATTCCAAATGGTGTTGAATTCCAAATGGGTCTGTTAATCTGTCAATACGTTTTCGTTGGAAGGATTGGGATTGCTTAAACTTCACAGTTTTACATAAAAGTAAGGATATATTTTCTTTGAACTGTTAATGGTATAGGTGAGCTTTAAAAGTATCAGAAGGGTGAAATTGTGATCATATTGACACCATTAACAGTTCCTCATCTGGCATCACTTAGACAATTATCTAACAATAGTTTGGCCTTTATTGATTGATTAAGGTTACCTATCATTAAAGGTGGTTATGTTTAATAAGAATAATTGTAGTTTGGAATAGAATCTAATTGTAAGAAGGGAGAGACTTAAAAGCCGCACCCTCACCTTTTAAATCAGGGTGTGGAAAATTGTTAACAAATCGATAATTATTTTGAAACCAGAACATAATGTCAACCCTTTTATTTTAAGTTAGCTTATGCAATGTACAAAATGACATGCCAATTATTGTCTTACACCGAATTACCTAGGCCTAGGGTGTCACACGATGACCTTTATAGTATTTTACTCTTTTTATAATGATGAACACAAACTCTGCGTTTTAGCACAGTTTAGGTCTTGTGAAAGAAATTATCTTACACATTTATGTACCCAAAACCTGAAAAAATTTGGCCAGATTCTGTGAACTTTTATTCCCAAATGTACTTTAAAATGTTATATGCCATGGCACAAGCACAAAATGATTTTGCACATTCTCCAACGCAGTTTGGCTATTTTAGCCTCAGTTCTGCTATTTTGATTTTATTTGCGAAAATTAAAAGTTAAGTTAATAGTTTTGAAAGAACAAAACCTGCTAAGAATGCCAAATCCACCCAGTTTTCATGGACACATCATTTTGCCATTATGCAGGGCACCAAATAAAAAAAGTACTACTCTGAAGTAAGCATCATTCATATGCAGCAGAAAGACAAATCAAGTCACTAATAAAGCAGTTCCTGAAGATCCATAAATTGAGTAATAGATCCAGGCTTCCCAACTGTCCCAGGTTTGTTCTCTGGTGTCCTGCTTTTGGGGACACCAGCGAACTGTTCCCAAATGGCATAGCAGTAGACTTGCTACACTTAGGGCACTAGGACTCTGCAGAGAGCACTGAAACAGTGCTCCCCATATAGCCTGCTCTCAAAAAGATGGAAATGAGACAGCGCTAGATAACTTATAGGCAGCAACCTTAAAAGGGGATCCCTCAGACCCATTAGAACTGGATGGATGAAACTAATAAGAGAAAGGCTGCATTTACATTTGTAAAAACCTTTTGTCTGAGGAAAAAAGGATACATTTTTTGGGGGAGATTGTTTAGTAAAACTACTAATTTTACTAAACAATCTCCCCAAAAAAATGTATCCTTTTTTCCTCAGACAAAAGGTTTTTACAAATGTAAACAGTGTATTGTATGTAAAACCACAGATCATTCTACTCCATCTAAAGTCACAAATTTTATGTCTAACCAAACAAAAAGAGTGTACAATATTTATGATTTTATTTGTTGTAATACGAAAAATTTTATCTATCTGCTTGAGTGTCCATGTGGCCTCCAATATGTGGGGATGACCACAAGGTGCTTAAAGATAAGGCTAAGTGAACACTGCAGAAATATCAAAAATGGGTACTTAAACCATACAGTATCCAAACATTTTATTATACACAACAAAGATCCACGCCTACTAAAATGTATAGGTATAAAAAAATGTTCTATCTCCTGGCGTGGAGGTGATCTTAAAAAGCTGCTTGGTAAAACAGAGATGGAATGGGTGTATAAACTCAAGACCCTTATACCCCATGGTCTTAATGCAGATTTTGATCTATTCAATTTCTTATGAAAATAGATATAAAATGATGTTTGTATTTCTTATATTTTAAATGTTGCTTTTAATACCCTCTCTGATTATGCAAATATTTTTTAATATCATGTTTGCACTTTAGGTTTTTATTGTTGTACCTTTTAAAGTATTCAAATTTTATTTTTTATTTTTTATAGTAGATTATTATTTATTTTTTATTTTTCTTAGTAAATTATTAGTCCTAATTATACTTCACATTAGGCACTTCGGTTTTACTTTATGCCCCACTATATTATCTTCCAGAAATTCTATTTTGTATTAATAATTAGCCTGTACTACATTTCCCATCAGGCACTTCGGCTCCAACTTCCGGTTTGCGGAAGTGCCGATTAATCTGTACATAGATTTAGGCATTATATTTAGTATTATATTAGTGCCTTTCCTTTTTCTATGTTTTAGGTTTCCCTATGTTTCATGGGAACCATTGTGCCAATCTGGCACTATAGATTTTCATTTTATTATGCGCCCACCGACCGCGACCATTTTAAACTACATTTCCCATGTGGCATTGCGGCTAGACTTCCGAAAAGCGGAAGTGCCGCACGCCATGTGACTATTTTAAAACGTATCAAATTACACTTTCCCACCCTCGTTTTTTAATTATAAATATCAGGAATGTGTTATAAAATAGCAGACAATGTACTGATAAAGGTATAATTATGTTTTAAAGTTTTTATATATGCTTCTATTTCTGATTGGACGGACCAATTTTGGCACCAAATGTAAATTAGTTATGCTCCTATATAACATTATCAAGCCAGGTATTACAGGTTATTCCATTTGAAAAAGTCTCTGACGAAACGCGTTATGGAAATTCAATTATTGTGTTCTTTTATATATTAAAGTATTTTTGGTTATTTGTTTGTACCAATAATCTTTTTTATAGACACATAATTTTCCTTTTTTATTACCCTGGCCTTTTTAATTATTTTATCTTTTTTTACTGGTTTTAAAAAAAACCTTGAGAATCCCTGGAAGCTTCCTATACTTAAAGAAATCCTAGGTGGGGATCAATCCACCCAAGCTGTCATCACGGAGCAGTAAATCTGCTCCTGCTTTGTAAGTACATTCTTTTATTATTTTATCCATATTGCTATACAGTGAGCACTATCGGCTGTTTTTTTTTATTCCGAGAATTGGACACCCATCACAGAGAGGAACCCATTTAAATCCTACAAGCGGGGATTAAACCGCTGTATGCGCCTTAACCCAGAGCTAGGACAATAGCTCTGGCAAATGTGAGTTCTATATCATTATTCTTTTATGTTCACACCAGAATTTTATATACTACACTATTGGTCGCCCTTCTCTCTCCTCTTTTTTCTTTCATATAAGTGGAACCGCTACATTAAGAGAAGACGTCATTAGCAAAGACCATCTGTAAGGATAAAACATTGGGACTTTCCTTTACATTGGACTTTATTTCTACTTGTGTGCGCAGCCTTTCTCTTATTAGTTTCATCTAGCCTGTATGATTGGCAGGCAGCCAACCTGCAAGTTCTTCAGGTGGACAGGTGGATATTTTTCCAAATTTTGACTAAAAGAGATAATTTAGACTTAAGATGCTCTTTAACGTATTCACTAATTACTTTCACTTTCTTTTTTCACTTGATGTGTCTTCTTGTTTTTGGTGAAACACACTAGTGTGTAGCCGCTGATTCTGTAAAAATATACACAGTATATTGAAGATTTATGATTGTAATAATAAGTGCCAGGCAGGTTTTCAAAAAAAAACCAGTTTCACTCTACATATGTTTCTTGTTATCATTAAAGGAACTCTACATTGAGATGATGGTTTTTTGATGCCCGGAGGTCCTGGGCACTGTCTTACCTTAAGAGGTGAAATTGTTTACAGACGATGTAACTCCAACGTTGTAAAGATGGCACCCATCTGCTCTGCATTCTGGTTTCCACCAGTGAAGTGAAGCTTCAGACAGCACATTGTTGTGAATAGAAAGGGACAATAGGGACCGTGTACAGTGTGAAGAGTGTTGCTGATCTATTTCCGCCTTTTTGTTGAGTTTTAATTTTGTTAATTTTGCCCCATTTGTTAAACCTAAATGTTCCTCTCTGGCACTTTTATCAGGTGCCTTTTTTGTGTGTGTTTTTTTTCTCAGTAAAAATTAGTGGCTCTGTCCACTGGATGGGTTGTTGTTGTGCTCAGGAGATGTTGCAAACAGTATGCATTTTTGAGTAATTTCAATATGTGCTAAATGCGCCAAAGTGTACCATAGATACATCTTTAATTTGCCATTTTTCATAAAAACTGCACTGGGCAGTATATAAATTCAGCCCTGTGTTTTCACAAAACTTGACAAGGGTATCCAAAGGTGGTCAGTCTGTACTCATGAGATATAGCTGAGCACAATTTAGTGAATATATTACAGTAGCACACACAAAGGTTATAAAATAAACTGCTAAAGTGCAATTTGCATGTGTAAAAAACACAAAAACAACATACCACAAACAAAAGAAATTTGTGCTAAAATGGCTGAACAATAAAAGCAAAATATACCATGAAAAAAAAAGAGGTGGAATGTCAAATCTCCCCACCACAATATTGTATGACAGCAAGCTCCATCTGGCAGGACCAGTAAAATATATGCCGATATATAAAGAGTTTTAGAGAGACTTTACACATAGGAAACTAGTGTGGTCAGAAAATTCTGAAAAATAAATAAATAAAGAAAGAAACATTTTATACACAACCCACAATGCATTCACACTCCTTAAAAGGGACACTCCAGACCAGTGGCATACACAAAAAAACATGGGGCCCCAGTGCGAAAATGATCTGTGGGCCCCCGACAGACACACACACGTACATAGAGAAACACACGCACACATAGACACATACACATACATACAAACAGACAGGCCCACATATATACATACAGACACACACACACACACACACACACAGACACATACATACAGACCGACACACAGACAGGCACACAGACACATACAAACAGACAGACACACAGACACATACATACAAACAGTCAGGCACACATACAGGCACACAGACACATACATACAAACAGACAGGCACACATACAGACACACACACACATACAGACAGACAGGCACACATACAGACACACATACATACAAACACACACACACACAACATGTTTGTCACCCTCCTGTTTCCTACCTTTTAGGTGCAGGAGGGTGATTTTCCCTGGGGTCCAGTGGTGGCTCAGGTGGATGGGAGTCAGAGTTCCCACTCTGACTCCCTCTGCTTCCTCCCGCGCGGCTCTCAGTGTTACTTCCTCCCAGCTTGTGATGTCATCACAGGGGGCCCGGTCGCACTGTTAAAGCTATTATAGGAGTTTCTTGACCTTCTAATAAGTGGCACCAATTTTTGAAAGCTGCCTTGATGTCATGCGGTAACACTTCCGGGTTCGGCACTCCGCTGTGCGGAGCCGGATCCCGCCCCCCTCTCACGCGGCTCTAATGGTATTTAGGGAGACCGCGACAGAGGTTGCTTGGTGATAGTGGGAGCTACTTCCGCCAGACTTACCTCTCCACAGGCTCTGGCAATGTGGGTCCTACTTCCGACTATGCACACCAGGGAGTTTTACAAGCTGCAGTTGAGTTCCAATCCAAATCACCCAAGTAGTGTAACAGAATCACCAAGCCACAAAAAATGGAACCAGCAGATGTAAATTCCCAAATGACCTCTTTAACCCACAGGGTTGAAATACTCACATAAGGCATGCAGGATTTGCAAATTGCTAATGAGAGACTTCTTTCTTATATTAGAGAAATGCAAAATAAAGTTACACATACTTCAAGTGACCCTGCTTTCTGCAATCCCGAAAATATTTATGGAGATCGCTCCAAGTATAGAGAATTTTTTAATTCATGCAAATTATTGTTTACTCTCAAACCCAGGGCTTACCCCACAGACAGGATTAAGGTCTGTTCAATAATTTCCTATTTAAGGGGTGAACCCATGTCCCGGGCACATTCATTTCTGGAAAATTAAGATCCTATTTTGGATTCTTTGGATAATTTTATTGAAGCAATGTCACTACTTTATGAGGACCCTAATAAACAAGCTACAGCTAATCATACTATTAGATCATTACAACAAAGAAATCGTCCTGTGGAGGATTATATAGCTGAGTTCAAAAGATGGGCTTCAGAAACCCAATGGAATGATATAGCTCTATGTAATCAGTTCCGTTTAGGATTGTCTGAACCAGTTAAAGATGAATTATCTAGAACCACTCTTCCTCCAACGCTTGATACATTAATTCAACTTTCCATCAGTATAGATAGAAGAATCAGAGTACGTAAAGCTGAAAAGGCTCTCTCTAATTCACATTGGAAAAAACCCAGTCCACCTTTGCGCATGCCTAATAAACCCTTGCTACCAAGTGAACCTATGGAAGTTGGGTTTATTAGGAGACCTTTGTCTACAGAAGAAAAAACAAGAAGGCGAAATTTAAATCTCTGTATGTATTGTGCTTCTAAGGAACATCTTTTACAAGAATGTCCTCTACTAAAA